CTGAACCCAATCAGAGTCCATTAGCGGGCGTGATGCAAATGGACAGTATTGCCGGGAAATTATTGATTTGCACCTAATATCCGGACGATCGGTGATCGCTGCGGGCGGAGGGCGTGAGCGCGGTCTGCCCGTACTTCGTGTGATGTCTGTACAGCATACGTACGTTCAAGTTCATAAGATGAATATTATGACAACGTATCCCGTATCTTACTACCACCACAAGTATAATATAATAATAATAATAAATAGATTTTTAGAAACGATCACGAAGAAAATTGAAACCTTATATACAAAATATCAACATTATTTTTTTAGTAGTGACTGATAGCCATTCTTACCACGGAAGTCACCAATCGGTGTTAACTATAAATTCGTATGAATCACAAGTATGCGTGACGCCATTGGTTCAATGTTCTAACCATCTTCCAGGCATATGATCCGTATAAGGTATAGCCTACCTACCTACAAGGTAATCGAATGACGCAGCACGTTATCAATGTTCGACTGAATTTGAAACTGACTGATTCAATGCACCGTGTTACTTATCTTAACTTGAAAGAGAGGTAAAACAGAAGTAGGGCATAACGAATTTTCCGCTCGAATTGGAGCACCCGTCTGGGGAAGTAACGTAGTAGGCAACGGTGTGAGTGATATTTATGGTATCGCGCACCTGTTTTCTTCCTCCCTCCTTCCTACAATTTGGGGTCCTTTAAGAGAGGCGTGAACAAGCATTTCTGCAGGCCGGCAAGGTGAGGATGTTTGGTGTAGCAGCTTATAACTGCTGAACCAGCTATCTTCGCATTTGGACTTTATCACTACTTAACATCAGGGGGGGTAGAGTCACGGGGGGCGGTACGGTGGGCACTAGGCCGCGTACTTAGCCCCCACGCGCGAGCCATCCTGCGCACGTCTGCGGGGTCCCCGCGATACCCCGGGAGATCCCTGCCGTGGAGCCCCAGCTAGGCCGGGAGGCTGCTGGGTGCGGTACAAAAAAAAGCGGGGTAGAGTCCACCTACCCGGCTATAAAAAACATCGCAAGCGTCTATACTATAGGCTATAGTAGCCGCTTAGCATCAGGCAGGCCATAAGCTTGTTAACCACCCCTTTAACATTAAATAACTTAATATATCATACCTTAATCAGTATTTTTTAAAGTGTACCAATTTTTATCTTAATTATTTTGTCCCATCAAATACTTCGCAGGAATTAATAAAAAACAAATTAACTCTATGTATCCCACTCATACGTGCCACTAGTCCCTAGTCTAGAAGTGGCACCTATGAGTGGGACAAATCGATTGATAGGACATTGATTGAATTGTTCAGGAAGGTACAGACTATTTTATGAATCATCATCATCATCAGCCTATTAATGTCCCCACTGTTGGGGCACAGGTTCCCTATGGATGGAATAGGGGGATTGGACCATGACCAACCACGCGAGCCCAATGCGTATTGGCGGGTGATTTTATAAATGGTTTGTCCTAATTAAGCGTTTTCGTTATCAAATAAAATACAATAGGTACCAGGTCTAAAACTTATGCTTTTATAACAAAGTGTACCGTTTTTACTTTGATCATATAGCTATATTTACCGAGGTGGAAATAAACTGTTTATTTAACCCGTATCTATTACTTAGTAAAAAAGACGGCAATGAGGTATTTATTTTTACTCTCATTTAAGGTTCAAAGAAAGGTTCTAATTCTGTTCTGGCTAAAAATAAATTAAAAAATATTAAAAGGTTTTATAATTCCCAGACCTCTTGCTGTTATATTTTTAGAAATTGAACACCTCTATACCGAGATTCTTTGTTTAATTGGAGGACCTTAATTATAATTTTTAATATTGTTCATAATTATCTTTCGACAAATTATATAAAAATAAATGCTGCCATATATTTTATCTCCAGATTTTCATAGAGAGCAGCTATAAATATTCGTAGACACACTTGAAATCGATTATTTTATTTGCTACGTGTACAGATTTTCTTGTTTTTTATTAAATTTTCTTTAGCACAGTCACTCCTTACTTTTCTTTGTACCATAGTACCCACCAACTTCTTCGTTTTTAGTAGATGAGAATATAGGTATAATAGATTCCAAGGGGTAGCGGATGTAGATAGTGTAACATTTTTTTTACCACATACATTGTCTACGACCACAATAATAAGACTCAAAAACCTTAAAAGATAGAGCGAACTCTTTCCTTAAAAGCCGGCATCGCATTTGATGCTCCTGGTGTTGCAGATGTCTATAGGCGACGATCAGATGAGCCGTCATGTCATATATATTTTTTTTAGTGTGTATGCTGTTGGTCGCAGATGAGCTTTACAGCGTCACCGGCGAGATCCTAAGGGGACCTCAAGCCTAGAGAATCGGCGAGTGCCTCCAGGCGGATGGCATCTCCCAACGGGGGGAGTCTCCTCTCCGCCTGGAGCCTCTAGACCAGTCGAACCTGAGGGGGTCGGCTCAACTAGAGGGCGTCTCCGAGCCTCGGACCTCGGCTCTAGTCAGCGTTGTCGTGGGGGGCGGGGAAAAACGCACAGGTACGTATCTGTACCTGGTATAGCGTGTCGTGTGTAGACCGGGTCTTCGCACTCTTATCCTACGGGTGCGGTGTCTGCCTAATGCTAAGCTAGTGTGCATGCTAGCTGTGTAGTGTTGATGTTTGTACCCTGTGTGGGATTAGTCGGAGGCGCGTTGACGCGGGTGATTTTATCGTCGGGGTACTCTAAGACGTGCCTAGGCCGACGGAATCGGAGTCATGTCATATCTTATACGTATATAATATAAAAAAATGCGAATGATATTTTGATATCGCCGGTTATTATACTATAAGGCTATGGTGGCCGCTTACCATCAGAAAGGTTTAATTCAAATGTTTTTTTGCCACCCTTTAAACATTATAACCTAGTACTTAAGAAAACAGTTGTTTATAAAGCTACAGAAAATTTTGGTTCTTATGAAACTTGCAACGGCTACAATTTTCACTTGAACATTAGTTTTCCCAACAAGAGCTGTTGTTTATGTAATTCAGTTATGGCGAAGTTTGTGAAGCTAACAGAAGTTTTGTCGCGTGTACAAAAGCCAACTTAACGCCTTGTGCACTCTGAAACCTACTTGTGAAGCTACCTACCTTTAATACTAAGGTTGATATTTTCCATAACTTTTCGTCCAAAGATACTTGATCTAAGATATTATTCTTTTCAATCATACTAATGTAAAGCTCATTATGATATTGCTATCCGGACTTATGCACGTGGTCTAAGGTTTCTTTTATTGAAATGTATACATAACTAGTGGCACCGCGCGACTTCATCTGCGTGGAGAAATTGGTTTTCCAAACAAACTTCCACTCCCCTTTTCATCCCTTTAAAGGGTGATTTCTAGGATAAAACCATAATATATCCTACCCCGGGACTCAACCTATATATATCGAAAATTCGCCTAAATCGGTTAAGCGGTTTAAGCGTGAAGAGGTAACGAAAAGACAGGCACAAAGTCAGACCGATACACTTTCACATTTATGATATTCGTATGGATATAGTTTGAGTTTTGTGCAATATTTGGAAAGAAAACTGGATTTTGCCTTGAAACCCGGTAAGAGATGCAATGCTAATGTGTTTGTATTTCTGTCATAGTAATGTATAAATAACAGACTCTCTGCTTGCGACAAAAATAAATTGGGTATCTTAGTTTTATGAAGCAATTTTTTTTTAATATTTTTTAAATATTGGCAAATAATTTAATGACCCCGCCTGATGGTAGAACTTGCGCGTTGTCTGCCCTGTCACAATCTCCTACTCCGTGGAGCCCTGGGAACCTTATTTACAGACAGAAATTCAACAATACTATTTTTTCACTATGTGCCTTCTGTAAATTAGGGATATTTACTCAAAGGGGATGTTCCAATTCAAATGGAGACTAGCGAGCCCTATTTTATGTACGAGTATAGTTGGTAATCTCCTTATTTCTATATAATGATATTTTAAATTAAATCAAAAATTGTTTTATTCAGTTAAGGCTTTAACAAGCAAACACTCCTGAATGTTTAGAAGCTACGCCATCTTTATATAATAATGTTAGGTTACAAGTAAATGCTTTATCATAATCTTCCTCCAAGCTTACTGACCTTTTAATAATGTAAGAACTTTTTATGTTTATTTTTAAATTATGTGATAATTGTGTTTGAAAATGTCTATTATTAAAATTATGTACCTATATAACTATCTTTAAGTACATTATAAGCCAACTTACATAACAAAAAGAATATATGCACGTGCACACAACAGTACAAGCAGGAATTTCCTTATATAGGCCAACATAAAAAATATTAATTATTTGTTTAATTTTACATGATAGAGAATTATGTTGATTTCAGTAAAACTGTAGAAGCTCAAAAATAAATAATAAATTCCAGATAATTGCGTCCTTTGAAGTTCAGGTTCGATGAAGAGAATATTAAAAAAATCTCATTTAAAAGTAATTACTCAATGTACACCTATAATTTTTCCGGATTGCTTAATAATATTAATAAAAATAGCGTATAATTAATTCTTCAATTTCAATAAATACTTTTCTATCTTTTTCGATGTTCCGTAACCAAACAAGCGACGGACAGAGCCTTATTAATGACTCCGCTATATATCTGTCCACTTTGTATCTGTTGAACTTAAATATTGATAGATATTTGAAATATTCATAGAATGCGTGTTACTGTACCCCGCTATCACAACACATCAAACAAAAAAAGTTACGGCATTATTCCTAACGCCGTAACTTTTTTTGTTACATAGCAAAAAAGTTGCCGTCTAACCTAACCTAACCTATTTGAGGATCAGATTTGATATGAGATTTATTATAACACAATTTTAAACATTTAAGATTACATTGCCTTCTTTACTTATGCCAATGTCCAATTTTGAAGTAAGGCCTCCTTGTAGTTACTAGTAAATACTCCAATTTTGAATTCTTGCTTTAGTTTTTTTTCGAATGTGCCGTATTAGGAATTACATTTACGTGTCAAATTTGAGTTGGTCCCGTCAAAGGTTAAACTTTCAGGTGAAAGGGCAGCGCGAAACCAGTCATGTGTGAACGTATTCAAATGTTCGGGGGCACCTGACATTTGTAGCTGACCCAATATTGACGGGGCAGCTTTTGACGAGAATACGAAATAGGGGTCCACTACTTTATACGGAAATTGCACCAACTCTATTTTATGTTTGGATATGTTAAGTTTGGTGGTGTGTATCACCCAATAGCTAAAACCATCTAAAGTAGTTCCTTAACTGAGACTTAACTTCAACGCATGGTATAAATACCTCTTAAAAGTTTTTAGGCTAATGCGATAATAATATGTGGTCAGTAAAAATATAATTCACTTTTGTAAATCAGACCCATACAGCTATATTTCAACTACGCTGGATTAGGTTATTATTGCTTATCTTTAATTAAGTTTCGTCCTGGTAATATCTCATAAAAATAATATCGCAATTCATTTGTTGTCTGTTAACAGGATTTTATTAGGTATCTTCGCAATAAAGTTGCAATTTTTATAAAACCATGTGAAAACAAATATATTAGCATCATTATATCCTATCAGGAATCCATAGCGAAATATATACCCAAGAATAAAATTGTCAAGATCAAACAACAACATTAAGGTGATAATCAACAGAGATATTTTGTAAAGATCTTAATTGAGTCTCAGATGAGTATTAAAACGAATATTGACTGTAACACCAGTACCGAGTGATAATCTTGTGCCCATATCTCGAGATAATCAGTTGCACACGCTTTCTTAAAAATATCACCCTACCACCCGCATCAACGACGATACCATCTACATGCAACCGCGTGAAAATATTTTTAAAACAATGAAGGGCATTCACTTTTATCAACGCATCGCCGCTCGAGGGGGCATCCTGAAAAGGTGCTGTGAATAGGTAACCCTCGGGCAACGCCGGCAGGCTATCAGTTCAGTGAATGGCCATTAACCACCTCGGGCGACGATAACACTGAAAGGAACCCTTCCGCAAGACAAACAGATCTGTTTGCCACTCATTACCTCCTCGGGAAGCCGCAACGTCATCGGCGGTGACACCTCCCGCTCCGAACTGGCACTCACACTCACTGCACTATCGTTCACGCTGCGTTTCTCGATAACATCCCATGGCACTTCTGGTTCATACACAAGCACGTTGATGGGGTCTCGGCCGGAGTGGAACTTCCAGGGGAAGTCGCCGCTGTGCCGAGGCCGGCGCCTCTTGTGGCGCACCCTGTGCCTGGTAAACCTTCCGCTTCCGTACCATTCTTCGAGCATGGCATCGTTCAACGACTCCAAATTCACTTCCAACTTTCGCTTCGGAGGAACGGTAGGAGCGTAAGTCGTGATAGGGTCCCGGCTGAGGCCCTCCGCGTCCCACAGTTGTATTCTGAGTATGTTGTCGTGGGAGGTTAAATGGGCGCGCGCGGTCACTAGCGCTATCGCGACGAGTGCTGCGACGAACGAGCGCGCGGGGCCGACCATCTCTCTCGGCGGGCGCTAGCCGACTGACTGCACGGAGGGTTTTCCCGCGTTTTCCGATAACGCTACGAGCTACGCGTCGCGACACTACACGCATTCGACATCAACGCTCTCCCACTGATAATGACTGCTTTTGAGCTTATCATCGCCGTTTTGATTGATAATATTGATATCGTAAACTGCATGCGACATGCAATACCTTTGAGCGATGCATTCGATGAGAAGTTTAATCTATTTTTAAACGACTTCGAAAAGGAGGAGGTTCTCAACTCGTTAGTATATTTTTTGGTAATTGAAGCAATAATAGTTATAATTTATACTTATCTATTTTTCGTCGCCGTCGCCGGTTCGCACTGGCTACGCAAAGGCAGACATTTTATTGTAGTCAATTAGAGATATATGTTTTTGATCACGTTATTTAATGTTTAATTTTTTCGACAAAATTAGTAAAATGTAACCACTACATAGATGAAAATTGTATTTTGGTAGAGTTTTGCCTAAAATTCAAGAAATAATTACAGTTTTGGTGTACCATTCTTTGGTATAATCTCAAGTCCATACTTGTTCATAAGTGCCAATGATTCATTTGCACTTATGTTAATCACTGAAACGTTTAATATTTGTTAACCTTCCGTTTTTTTAGGGTTCCGTAGTCCTGACAAGGAAACTTTGAAGATGAACTTCTTACGATTTCGCGTTACGATTAGTATTATTGGTGACTCATCGGTAAACAATGAACCCGTCACAAAATATATGGACCCAGTGCGGATTGGAGGGTGATAACGGACTCAGTGCGAATTGGTGGGTAACAATAGACCCAGTGTGGATTGGAGGGTGATTAATGGCCCAAGCGTGGATTGGTGGGTGACAATGGACCCAGTGCGGATTGGTTGATGGTAACGGACCCAGTGCGGATTGATGGGTGATAACGGTTGATTTGGGTCGTTTTGATACAGACCAAGTTTTATTGCTTAATGTTTTGTGTTTCGCTGTTATGTTTTTTAATTGTACTTATTTTTAATGTTATCAGACAGAGGGTGTGTTTTTCAAGGATGCGGATTGGATAATGGACAATTAGCTAGGCAATTAGCTCGGCAACTGGCTAGGCAATTAGCTAGGTAACTAGCTAGGCGACTAGCCTATTGCCAATTGCCTAGCCAGCTGCCTAATTAGCTATCATTTTTTTTTAACAAGTATGTAATGGCAACTAGCTAGGCAGCAAGCTAGGCAGCTACCTAGGCAGCTAGCTAGGCAGCTAGCCAAGCAGCTAGCTAGGCAGCTAGCTAGGAAACAAGCTAGGCAACTAGCTAGGCATCTATCTAGGTAACTAGCTAGGCAGCTACCCTGGGCAACTAGTTTTATAGCTAGTTGGGCTAGTTTTCTAGCTAGGCAACTAGCTAGGCAACTAGCAAGGCATCTACCTAGGTAACTAGCTAGGCAACTAGCTAGGCAATTAGCTCGGCAACTAGCTAGGCAGCTAGCCAGGCAGCTAGCCAGGCAACTAGCTAGGCAATTAGCTCGGCAACTAGCTAGGCAGCTAGTCAGGCAGCTAGCCAGGCAACTAGCTAGGCAGCTAGCCAGGCAACTAGATAGGCAGCAAGCTAGGCAGCTATCTAGGTAACTAGCTAGGCAGCTACCTAGGCAGCTACCTAGGCAACTAGCTAGGCAACTAGCTAGGCAGCTAGCTAGGCATCTATCTAGGTAACTAGCTAGGCAACTAGCTAGGCAGCTAGCCAGGCAGCTAGCTAGGCAGCTAGCCAGGCAACTAGCAAGGCAGCTAGCCAGGCAACTAGCTAGTCAGCTAGCTAGGAAATTAGCTAGGCAACTAGCTAGGAAACTAGCTAGGCATCTATCTAGGTAACTAGCTAGGCAACTAGCTAGGCAGCTAGCCAGGCAGCTAGCTAGGCAGCTAGCCAGGCAACTAGCTAGGCAGTAAGCTAGGCAGCTACCTAGGCAGCTAGCTAGGAAACTAGCCAGGCAACTAGCTAGGCAATTAGCTAGGTAACTAGCTAGGCAACTAGCTAGGCATCTATCTAGGTAACTAGCTAGGCAAATAGCTAGGCAATTAGCTCGGCAACTAGCTAGGCGACTAGCCTATTGCCAATTGCCTAGCCAGCTGCCTAGCTAGCTGCCTAGCTGCCTAATAATAGATATCATTTTTTTTTTACAAGTATGTAATGGCAACTAGCTAGGCAGCAAGCTAGGCAACAAGCTAGAAAACTAGCTAGGCATCTATCTAGGCAATTAGCTCGGCGACTAGCTAGGCAGCTAGCCAGGCAACTAGCTAGGCAGAAAGCTAGGCAGCTACCTAGGCAGCTAGCTAGGAAACTAGCTAGGCAACTAGCTAGGCAGCTACCTAGGCAACTAGCTAGAAAACTAGCTAGGCAACTAGCTAGGCAGCTACCTAGGCAGCTAGCTAGGAAACTAGCTAGGCAACTAGCTAGGCAACTAGCTAGGCAACTAGCTATGAATCTATCTAGGTAACTAGCCAGGCAGCTACCTAGGCAACTAGCTAGAAAACTAGCTAGGCAACTAGCTAGGCATCTATCTAGGTAACTAGCTAGGCAAATAGCTAGGCAATTAGCTCGGCAACTAGCTAGGCAACTAGCCTATTGCCAATTGCCTAGCCAGCTGCCTAGCTAGCTGCCTAGCTGCCTAATTATAGCTATCATTTTTTTTAACAAGTATGTAATGGAAACTAGCTAGGCAGCAAGCTAGGTAACTAGCTAGGCAACTAGCTAGGCAGCTAGCCAGGCAGCTAGCTAGGCAGCTAGCCAGGCAACTAGCTCAGCAGCTAGCCAGGCAACTATCTAGGTAACTAGCTAGGCAACTAGCTAGGCAGCTAGCCAAGCAGCTAGCTAGGCAGCTAGCCAGGCAACTAGCTAGGCAGCTAGCCAGGCAACTAGCTAGAAAACTAGCTAGGCAACTACCTAGGCAAATAGCTAGGCAATTAGCTCGGCAACTAGCTAGGCGACTAGCCTATTGCCAATTGCCTAGCCAGCTGCCTAGCTAGCTGCCTAGCTGCCTAATTATAGCTATCATTTTTTTTTAACAAGTATGTAATGGCAACTAGCTAGGCAGCAAGCTAGGCAACTAGCTAGAAAACTAGCTAGGCATCTATCTAGGCAATTAGCTCTGCGACTAGCTAGGCAATTAGCTCGGCAACTAGCTAGGCAGCTAGCCAGGCAGCTAGCTAGGCAGCTAGCCAGGCAACTAGCTAGGCAGCAAGCTAGGCAGCTACCTAGGCAGCTAGCTAGGAAACTAGCTAGGCAACTAGCTAGGCAGCTACCTAGGCAACTAGCTAGAAAACTAGCTAGGCAACTAGCTAGGAAACTAGCTAGGCATCTATCTAGGTAACTAGCTAGGCAACTAGCTAGGCAGCTAGCCAGGCAACTAGCTAGGCAGCAAGCTAGGCAGCTACCTAGGCAGCTAGCTAGGAAACTAGCTAGGCAACTAGCTAGGCAACTAGCTATGCATCTATCTAGGTAACTAGCCAGGCAGCTACCTAGGCAACTAGCTAGAAAACTAGCTAGGCAACTAGCTAGGCATGTATCTAGGTAACTAGCTAGGCAAATAGCTAGGCAATTAGCTCGGCAACTAGCTAGGCGACTAGCCTATTGCCAATTGCCTAGCCAGCTGCCTAGCTAGCTGCCTAGCTGCCTAATTATAGCTATCATTTTTTTTAACAAGTATGTAATGGAAACTAGCTAGGCAGCAAGCTAGGCAGCTAGCCAGGCAACTAGCTAGGCAGCTAGCCAGGCAACTAGCTAGGCAGCTAGCCAGGCAACTAGCTAGAAAACTAGCTAGGCAACTAGCTAGGCATACATACATTACATAGATAGATCTAGGTAACTAGCTAGGCAACAAGCTAGGTAGCTAGCCAGGCAACTAGCTAGGCAGCTAGCCAGGCAACTAGCTTAGCAGCAAGCTAGGCAGCTATCTAGGTAACTAGCTAGGCAGCTACCTAGGCAACTAGCTACAAAACTAGCTAGGCAACTAGCTAGGAAACTAGCTAGGCAATTAGCTCGGTAACTAGCTAGGCAGCTAGTCAGGCAGCTAGCTGGGCAGCTAGCTAGGCAGCTAGCCAGGCAACTAGCTAGGCAGCAAGCTAGGCAGCTACCTAGGCAGCTAGCTAGGAAACTAGCTAGGCAGCTACCTAGGCATCTAGCTAGGAAACTAGCTAGGCAACTAGCTAGGCAATTAGCTAGGCAATTAGCTCGGCAACTAGCTAGGCAACTAGCTAGGCAATTAGCTCGGCAACTAGCTAGGCAATTAGCTCGGCAACTAGCTAGGCAGCTATCTAGGTAACTAGCTAGGCAGCTACCTAGGCAACTAGCTAGAAAACTAGCTAGGCAACTAGCTAGGAAACTAGCTAGGCAATTAGCTCGGGAACTAGATAGGCAGCTAGTCAGGCAGCTAGCTGGGCAGCTAGCCAGGCAACTAGCTAGGCAGCTAGCCAGGCAACTAGCTAGGCAGCAAGCTAGGCAACTATCTAGGTAACTAGCTAGGCAGCTACCTAGGCAACTAGCTAGAAAACTGGCTAAGCAACTGGCTAGGAAACTAGCTAGGCATCTATCTAGGTAACTAGCTAGGCAAATAGCTAGGCAATTAGCTCGGCAACTAGCTAGGCGACTAGCCTATTGCCAATTGCCTAGCCAGCTGCCTAGCTGCCTAATTATAGCTATCATTTTTTTTAACAAGTATGTAATGGCAACTAGCTAGGCAGTTACCTAGGCAGCTAGCAAGGCAGCTAGCTAGGCAGCTATCTAGGTAACTAGCTAGGCAGCTACCTAGGCAACTAGCTAGAAAACTAGCTAGGCAACTAGCTAGGAAACTAGCTAGGCAATTAGCTCGGGAACTAGATAGGCAGCTAGTCAGGCAGCTAGCTGGGCAGCTAGCCAGGCAACTAGCTAGGCAGCTAGCCAGGCAACTAGCTAGGCAGCAAGCTAGGCAACTATCTAGGTAACTAGCTAGGCAGCTACCTAGGCAACTAGCTAGAAAAC